TCTCTCTCTCTCTCTCTCTCTCTCTCTCTCTCTCTCTCTCTCTCTCCTCCTCGGCTCCTTCTTCTTCTTCTTCTTCTTCTTCTTCTTCTTCTCCCCTTCAGACTCCATCTTCTTCTTCTTCTTCTTCTTCAGATTGGAGACTTATACTAGTCGGACAGAGATCAGTGTTGGACTTCGGTGGTATGAGACTGTGGTACTTACCGGACTGGAGACTTGGAGATTGTTGGGGTTGATACTTGGCGGCATCACAGTTCGGACACCGGTTACATTTGGGCTCTGTATCTCCGACATTGGTGACTGATTGTCCTCGACATTTTGATCTTGTTGGATGACATTTTGGACTACCATATCGGTGACCTATCGGATTCTATTTCGGTGACCTACCGGTGCTGTCTACCTCCCCCACCTCCTTCGTCTCTCCTCCCACCTTTCATCTGTGTATGAGTGTACGGGATCTGGGCATCGTCCATGCTTGGCCCAGACCCCACCATCTCACGATTGTATGTGTGTGGAGTGATTCTTGAGTCAGTCTATGTGAGTCAGTCCATTTATCAGACTTCTGCTGCATATATGCTCATCCTACATTGGTTGATCTTTGGTTCTGCCCATACTCATTGAAGTATGTAACAACCAGTACTTGTCGAAAATAGGCTCGGAGGTACTAGTGGTTTACGGGACGAAAAAGTTAGAAAACAGTTGAGCAGTGTCATCTGACAGGGACACTCTCCACCCTCCATTGCCAAGGAAAGAAAAAAACAAAAAAAAAACAAGAAAAAAAAAAAAACAGCAAGGGCATTTGAGAGTGAAAATCATCATACCAGTCTGTCATCCTCTTCGACTGTGGTCTTGTATTCTCCGAGCCGCTGCTTCAAAAACTCCGATAATTGGGTTACCACAGCTCTATCATTACATTCACTCACTCTGTTTTCCACCTGAAGAAATAAACACACATTCTATCATTACATTCACTCACTCTGTTTTCCACCTGAAGAAATAAACACACATTGGACAGAAAACTTAGAAAAGGACTCAGTTGGTACACCCACAGTACACCCACAAACTGTTGAAAAGCAGACGGGAATTCGAACCCAGATGGAACCAGACGAACGAAATTCTTGAATTACCCCCTAGGGCTGGTCAGTTTCACGCCGATATCTCAAGGCTGTCACCCGTTTCAAAAAGAAGGGGAGAAATAAAGGAGTTTTAGTCCTTAGATTTAATCATATACAAATCTAGGAAGAAAATCCATGCGCCCAGGCCTAGGTAATTTAAAAAAGGGGTTTAAGAGGGGCGAAATCCAAGGTGTGTGTCTGGCCACCAAGTGGTGCCCAGACACACAACCAGTTGCCTGACCGGGCATGATCCCCGGGAAGAAAAAAAAAAGATAAAAAAAGTTTAAAAAACAATTCTGGGAAAAAAATATGTTGTGTAGAATTGCAATCCAAAATTCCACATGACTTTTGGCTGATGGCCACCTTCAAATTCCTTGATGAATTGAACATAGAAAAGACAACAATGAAATCAGCCTGAGGCACCTCCCTTTAAACCCCTTTACTGCCCCCCTTTAAAGTTTAAACTTTAAACCCAATTTATACCTGCCTGTACCCCCTTGACGAACAACACTGAAAAAAGAAAGACCCGGATTTGAGCTCCTATTGGCAAGCGCAGAAGAACACCACCACCAAAACGAAAAAGGAAAAAGAAAAGAGACATTTTCGCACACCTGCGTAGCCCGGGCAGCAGACCGCCCCAGACATGACACACCAGCCGCCACCAGGAGGGAAACAGTGTCCCTAGATATGAACTTGCAGTCTTGTAGGAGTAATACAAACCCATGCCCCTTCAGTTCGTCATCGGTGACACCATGCATGCATCTCCATGCGCTATTTGTACAGAGGAGAGCGATCATGAGTTCACGATGAATTGCTTTGTTTGACTCGATTGTCCCAATTTGGAGTTAGAGAAAAACACAATCCCACTATTAATCCACCAGTAGCGCTGAGCCTCTTTTTCACAACACAGATTTCTGCTGTGTGCCGAGTTACAGTACTCAGAGAGCCGAAAGGTGCAGTGTGCATTGACAGCCACGTTGGAACAAAACAGCTGGGAAACAAAATAGCTGGGAAAATTCAAAATTACTGGTGGTTTTAAGGATTGGCTGATTTGGGTTTCTAATACGTTTTTTAATCAGGATTGGCTAATTTGGGTGTCATCAAAATTCAAAATTGGCTAATTTGGCTTCAACCAGGGTTGGCCAAGCCTGATTCTCCTGTCTTCTAGAACAGATCTGGACTTGAGCCGTAGACCAAAGCGAAACGTGGTGGACCCTGCGCAGTGAGACAGAATGATGACGTGTGGGAACAGGTTTGGCAGCCAAAAAATGAGTTTGTGAGGGAGAGGCTCTCTCTCTCTCTCTCTCTCTCTCTCTCTCTCTCTCTCTCTCTCTCTCTCTCTCTCTCTCTCTCTCTCTCTC